CATGTGTACTAAACTAGGAAGACTATAGCCTGTTCACAGACCCTCTATTTTCTCTTCAAAGTCTGTCGAGCGCGCGTGATAAAAAATAAAACCGCGGGGGCTTAAATGACCGTTAGCGCGGTTTGGGTGGGGGAAGAAGGGCTCGTTCTCGCGCGCTCGAGCGCCTGCCGATGTTTACGAAAAGAACGAAAAGAAGAATAAAACAATGTCTATGTACAGGCAAGGAAGGCTATTACATCATAAATAAATATATATTTTGGGGGTTTAAATAAATGTAAAAGCGGAAAGTTAAAGTCGGCATAGAACATTTTAAAATAAATTTGAGTAACATAAAATGTTGAATCGCTTTTAAAATTAAAAAGCGACCATTGCAAACTAACACAACATCATCATCAGACGAATCTAAACTTTGCGAAAAACAATTGTCTTTAACGCCTTAACCAAATAAAGCAAAAGGTATTTATTGCAATATCCAAGCGGTATTTTTGTTTGCGTTCTTTGGCTGATAGAAAACTACAGGGTTGATTTTTAGATCACGCTGTCCTTTCCGGCTGCGTCGTTGAGACATTGTTAGTTTCATGGGACAGAGGTAAATAACTTCTCAATATGCGGTTTCATTAGTAAAATACTGAAAGAACACTAGCTTAAAGCCAGTTTTAGCGCAACACTTTTTTATTTTTGTACGTCCTGGTAAATGCAGTTTAGAAACATTGTTTTGGCTGAACAACTGACCATTCTTAAGCCCAAATTAATTATCAACTAATAATTAAGACTTTAATTATTAATATATATTTAATTTGTCGCCTAAAAAATCCCTTGGTCGCCAAATGGCCACCAAAGGAAAAATTTAAGTTTTAAAACTGACAAGGGGTAATTTTTTTTGTTCTTTTTGACGTATCCATGGAAATTTCCCCGAGGCAATTTCACCTTGGGAAAAACCGCTCACACAATGACACATGTTACATTCTGGGTAAAAACCATTTGCGCAAGGGTAAAATGGTTAACTTAGCTAAAAGTAATCGGGAAACCTCAAGTCGCTTTTCTCTTTGCTGTTTTGTTATTTATGTTTATATTTTTGTCTTGAATAAAACAGCTAGCAGGATTTGGCTGTCGTTATTTTATATAAACAGTATAACCGCACCTATTGTAAAGGATGAAAAAAGGATTACAAAGTGTCGTTTTGTTCTTGTGTCCTTTCCTTTCACGCCAGCTTTTTCCAACCGTGTTTGCTGTGGTACTCTTTGTTTGCACAACTGTTTTCTCTTTTGGGACGAAAATTCATACTACTGTAATTAACAACGTTCTTAGTTGCTTGTGATTTCTGAAGATAGTATCGTCACAGGGGCGGATCCAGGATTTTTTTTTTAGGAGGGGGTGTACTCGTCTCTTGCCCTACTTCAACACCAATAATCCACATTTTTTTTTTTGGCAGAATACCAGTTGTATTAGAAAACCGCAGGTCATCTCAGGGGGGGGGGTGCGCACCCCCTGCACCCTCCCCCTAGATCCGCCCCTGCGTCATAAACTGTTTCCTCTATTAAACTGGAAACGTCTGTACATTTATCGCTATCTGCGTGTGAACCGCTCATCATTACAATGCTTCTCGCTTGAGAACACGCGGTCCCCCCCCCCCCGGGGATGCAATAAATGATCAATTTCACCGCTGAATTTTAACTGTCCACTCAGAAACGCTGTTTAAGCGACCATTGGGCAAACGTTTTACCGGTATGTTACTGGCGGAGTTTTAAAACTTTTTAGTATATATTACCCAAATACAATAAAAATAAAACGATTTTGATTTCATAGGTTAACTGTTGATAGGCTAAGAAGCTGTTAGCTTTGTGTTTCTTCTTTGCTGTTATCAGCTGGATTCCAGCTGTGTTTTCTCACTTACTGTTAGCCAAAGACGAAAGCCCTTTCACATATTTGCTATCAAGACGGTCTAGCTTGAAGGCTGCAGGCTGTTAATATATTTTGAAGCAGAAATAATCTAGAGAGAAAGCTAAGGTAGGTCTAAGCGATTTCAATAATTTCAGCAAAGTTATCACCTGTGATGTTAATTTAATCGAGCTTATGAGTCGTGTTTGGCCTGTCAGCACGTAATTCAACCCAGGAAATCGTAACAAAGATAAAAGAAAATCTCTTAATTATTCAGATCCAAACATTTCGTAGAAAAATAAAGAACCTAAAACCTTTATCAAAGGTTATTTAGCCGCAGTAAAGAGCGTTAGGTTTCAAAAGAGGTAAAGAAAATGCTTAATTGCACCGGAGGTCAAATCCCGTCAGAATCAGAAAACCCCGGCAAAAATCTCACAAATGACCTGCCAATGTGAGACAAGCGGCAAAAAATCACACTTGCTCAGTCAAAATTAAGAATCCTCCAGAGCATCATCTACCCACTAGGAAGAAAATGATTTAGGCAAGCGGCATAATAAAATGAGCTAAAAGACCTGAGAGCCAACCGACGATTGTTTTTTCTTTGTTGTTGTTGTTTTTTGTTGTTGTTGTTGTTGTTGATTTTTGTTGTTTTTTTTTTTTTTTCATATAGCAGAAGTCCCTTTCTGCTCTCGGTATCCCCTCTTACGTCTCCCCTACATACTGTATATCCCCCCTCCCCTTTCGAGGCCTACCGTACGCTGCAACTATAATTTTGTTTTTGCTGTTGTTATTTTTACGTCTTGTTTTAATAATGGGCATATATATCTTTTTAATCTATTTATTATATTGTATCATTATTATTTCTAAATAGTTAACTCGGAGTCTAACTCGAACTTCAACTCGAAGTCCAGCTCAAAGTCTGATTCGAACCCGAACTCGAATCCAAACTCGCTGTTTCGGGATTCCCCTTTTCAGTAATCGTACACCCTTAAGTCACAAGAGACACTAAATGTCAATTAGTGAAGGTTTTCAGAAACCTTGTTTCGTTTAGCTCGCGTGGCAAGCAGCAGATTTCGGGTGGATTTTTAAGTAATTCTTCCTCGCGTATTTCAAAACACTGGGGCTCTTACGCTTGTAGTCTCTGCGTTAACGCCTTTTCCTTTGTAAAAGGCTATCCAAGCTTAGATAGCAATGCCGAGGCGCCAAGTTTTATGAGAGAAATGCGGAGTAAAATATGAAAACTTGAATTGAAGTATATTAGTGCGTCCCGTGAGTTGAATTCCGTATAAAAAGAGATCAGTGAAAAAAAAAGTTCAGATGAAACGCTTCTATTACAACTGTTAAAATAATTTCAAAATTCGACAAATTCGGAACTGGCTACCCAAGAAAAGCAAAATAATTGAGTGCGTGGTAAGGTTTGGTTAAATCTTCTGCTCTACAGTATCCTGCTAGCAGAGGCATTTCGATCTTCCTAAATACAGTATTTATTCGATTAACCTTCCTAGGTGCTTATTAAATTTTTGGACCTTAATTGAAGGTGGGCGCTTATTCGAGGCTGGGCGCTTATTAAATTTTCACCATTTTCAGCAAGTGTAGTATGTTTAGTTTGCAAAAAAACAATAAATGCTGATAACAAAACGCAAAGAAGTAACAAAGCTGCAAGATTTCTGTAAAATATTCTGAAGAAAACTCCGTCCTCGGGGAAGTGTCTTATTAGTGCTTATTCAATTCCAATTTCAATCTCATTGTCACTCAAGTGAGTGGGGTCTGGGGGGTGGGGAGCGCCGTTATTTGTGTTTGATTGGGAGGAGGGGTGGTTGGGGTGGGGGTAGGTGCTTATTCGAGACTGGGCGCTTATTAGTTTTTTTCTGCCTTTAGGATGGGCGCTTATTCGAAGTGGGCGCTAATTCGAAGTTGGGCGCTTATTTGAATAAATACAGCCCAGGAGAGGCCCATCGTCCTAGATAAGTCCTTTTCCCGACTTATCTAGGAAGATCGAAGGGTCTCTGCTAGCTAGGTAGCTCTAAAGATATCAACAGCTCAATAAAGAACTGCAAGCCCAGGTGAGGCTAGTCTGCGTAGCATGGCGGTTTTGTCGGGGGCACTACTGAGCGGCGAAGCCGCGAGAAAAATAAAAACCGCCTGCCCGGATTCGTGGCCTTTGCGTCTGCCGCCCCTCTCAACTCATTTTCACATCCTGATGACAACTTGTTTGGTTTCCATTTCCTCAGCCAATCAGAAATAAAGTGTTGACAGGCTAAACACGACTCAGAAGCCCGTGATAATGTAAAACGTGTCCTTGGAGTTTGTTAAAACAAACACAGGTTTTTCTTCTATTCTATCTCGCCCACAGGTGATTACACTGCGTTCTAAACTTGACTGAGTAAATCTTATTTTTGACGCACTAAGTCTTACATTTATTTAGCGGTCATGAAGCTGGTAATTATTTACTGTGGTTGATGCTTCTGTAGGTGTTTGTGATAGGATTTGTTGATCTCAGATGCAGTTGTAACCACTCACTTCTTTGACCAGTCTAAAGCCTGAATCTTTTTATTACGGCTAAATAAAGATTTTAGTTTCTTTGGTTTTTCTGAAATGCCTGGATCTGAATAACTACATACCAAGGAGCCTATATATGAAGTTTCTTTGTCCGCGGAATGCGATAATTTCCCGTCCCAGTCTCCTCGCAGTTTCACTGCGCTCGCCCACCTTGGTTTGTTTGGGCGCCCAACCAAAACCACCATGCTACGCAGGCTAAAGTGAGGCAGAATAAGCAACTTCGTGCGAAGGTTGATTTTCTGCTCGACAGATGACAACAGCTCAATAAAGAACTGTGACTACACAAGTATAGCAGAACATGTTATTGCGTGCAGTAGTTCGTATATTTATAATAAGAGAATTCTGACAAAACAGTGTATTTGCAACTTACTAGCTATCGTGGTATTTCAGATCATCAAAGAGAAGGCCGGCGTACGACCACACGTGTATTTCCCGCCAAATACAAAATCAATGACGAGGTCACCGATCGAAATAATAATATTCTCCAAGAAAACATTTCATATTCGTAGCAAGTTATCATTTCATTGACTGTTTATCTTAAGAACTCGGTACATGTCCGAAATGAGGCATACTGTATTTCGCAGACTGGACTGGACAGGACGTTCATGTTTCACAAGTCCAGTCCAGTCCAGTCCAGTCCATCAAATACAGTATGTCCCGAAATCATTGTAAAAACTGCAGGTAGCGCTGTGCTGGTACGTGCTCGGTGCTAATATTATCGCATACCAAACAAATACAGTGAAACCTGTATTAAGTGGACACCCTCGGGGAATGCTGTAGTGTTCGCCTAATACAGGTTTCGATAGCCTGCGTAGCTGGCGGTATTGTGTACTAGTCGAGTGATATTCAAACGCCTCGTCCCCACTCCCTTTTTTGGATCGCAGCTGCACATGCTAAGGTTTCGATAGATAACGTCATATGAGGTGTCAAATGCCATTCAAATGAACAATGGAAACGTTTAGTATACTCCCAGAGACTTTGACCATATACGTTTGCATTAGTTTCTTTATCAAAGTGGACCAATTGATCATAGTACCGTAAACATAGATTGCAACTCAAATTTGAAGAAATCAGATGAGTGAAACAAGCTCTATTCAAACAAAACGAAATAGAAAACAATACTGTACTGTGAAACTAATCAAATAAGTTCGTCAATTCACGCTCTTTAATGTAAAAATCGGAAAATTTGTAGGTGGCAGTTCGAGGTAATCTTTCGCATTTCCGGTCTCTGGCATGTTGGGTAGTGGAATTTGATTAACAATAGAAATGACTATTTCAGGGACTTTTTAGGTGTCCGCTTAATAAAGGTTTCATTTAAAGTAAATAAGGGAAATAAATTTCAGGTTTCACTGTATTCAGATCCAGGAGGCACTTTGAAAAAAATTAAACAACCTGAAACCCTTATTTAACTGAAAGAAGAGCTTTACGTTTCAAAAGAGGTCAAAGAAACAGCTCTAACATTGTAGGGCAAATGTTGCCGACCAGAATTAGCCTGTGCCAGGCTCTCAAATGGTGGGGACGTATTAAAACGAGCAAAGCGTAAATAAGACGCGCGAGACTTGGAAAAGTAGGCGGTCACGGCGGTGTCTCTCCCCAGTTCTCGCGCGTTTTTCGCATTTCTTTAATTTTACCGAACGACTTTTACCACCATCTCGGAGCCTGGAACAGGCTAACCAGAATAAACAATATCCGCAGTAAATTATGCGTGTCACGACCTCTCAGTATGAAACAAACTTTTGATCGACACATCTCAATAATGTTCGACTAGCCAAGCCAATCAGACGCCCCGCTCGCTGGCGAGCGGGTTTTCAAAATCCCGGGATCTGTCTGCTAGCATTCCCTTCCTTTCCCTCCCCTCCCCCTCCCCTGTTTCATTTTTTGGCTCTCGTTCTATTTTTCGCGCGGCCAAAACCGAAAATCCCGTTCCTCGTCGTTTCTCGGTCTTTCTCTTCTCCGAAACCAAACGGAAACGCTTGCCACGCAACCGGCGGTGTAAGCGCCAGGAATCTCATGCTTTTATATATGTTCGACGCGTTTGTTCTTTTCGTGTTCGCGCCTGTAGTGTAGTTTTCTAGTTCATTAGTTGTTCATTGTTCGCGTACCCTGTTCTTCGTGTTAGGTTTTTGCATATCGTATATTTAGCTTTGACTGTAATTTTCGCGTTAGTTCTTCGTTGTACTTAGTCCAGTTTACAATTGAGTGTTTGGGTCTTTGCTCGTCCTAGTACTTCGTCCTTATTTCGCTATCATCTTGTAAGTACCTCGTTTGTTTCATTCGCATTTCCAGTTTGCGTTATTGCTTTCGTTCAGTTTGTAGGTTATTTTATTTTGAATTTGTATTTGTTTAATTGCCAATTTTCAGTACCGCTATTCTTCACATCGCTTAGCTTTGTTTCGCATCGATTCGGTTCGTCTTGCTTCGGTTCGCTTGTTTCACCAGTTGAGAGAAGCTCTTGAAATACAGTTTGTGTGTTGGAAAACTATAGCGCGTAAAGGCTGCGACCATAAGAGGGCTTAAGTTCCCGCGCTTCGACTCTCTGTATTTCATCGGGAGGGGACGGGGCAATTATAACACGGTTTTTCTAATACGTGGGGAAAGGTGGTTAGGTAGTTTTTTTTCATCTGCGTGGGAAAAGGAAGTGTAAGGGTGGAATTTTTAACTCGTGTTTCTATCCGAAACGAAATAAAATATCCCAATGTGAAATATCCGAACTCGAAACTGTAAAATATAGAACATATTGAATTACAGTGGCACGTTAGTGTATGTATTGCCGCAGTTTGGGTATGAAATAAGGTCAGGATTTGGAGAACCGGGCGGCATACCCCCCACCAAGAATCCCCAGTATTCATTCACCTCTGACAAGTCCCTTTAATTCTGTCGTGTTGCAGAGACGTGTTGCACAAACAACATCATTAAAAAATGAAGTCTTCGGTGAGTAGTTTTTTTTCTTATCTGGCTCACTAACATGACAATGTAGTTTCGCATTCGCATGAAAATGGACAGAAACACGTGTCAAAAATCCCACCCTCACACTCCCTCTTAGATGAAAAAATCTATCTAACTACCCTTCCCCACGTAGGTAGTTAAGACTCTATATAAGACTCGCAAGTACAGGTGTTAAAGTATATACTCAAAAACAACCAATATTTTGAATTATTTTGAGTGTTATTTTATTTACGCAAAAGTGTGCAAGGTTTATTATCTGTTTGTTTTGGTTGAAAGTTTTCGAAAACGCACGTGACAGCCGTAAAGTGATTTTAAGAGTAAGATCTATCTTTTGTTGAAATCTGTCTTTTGTTCATACTAATTTGACGCGCTGGTAAAACGAAGGATACGTACCGTTGGCCTTAATTGACTTTTACTTGACCAAACAAAACCTTTCCAGAAAAAAAAGGTTCGCCTGGAACATACTCTTTTTATTAGTCTTTTTCGTTTTCAAGATCTTATGTGAGTTGGCTTGCGTTTTAGTGACAGAAACCTTGTGCATCGAAATCTCCTGATCAAATCATTTAGTTATACTTCATTAAGTGCAGTCGGTCCCCGAACAATTGTTTGACACTGGCTGTCAGGTGAACACTTTTTGTTGGATAATCCGTGTAATCATATTTATACGCTAATTAGTTTTATTGCAAAGCTCGCAAACAACTTTGAGTTAATATATTGAAAAGGCGGGACAAATTAGTGATCATTAGTATTGTTAGTTATTCCTACAAGAAGACTTTAAACGACAACTTATGTAATGTACAAAAGTTGATTAGTTGTACTTTTTGAAGTAACGATAGTGAGAATCATCGATTTATATATATCAATACATTATATGTGATCTTTATATCTCTCTGCCTTATTTTGTTTTGACTGGACATTAACTGGACTGAATTGAATTTTATAGTCAAAGCTGATTTTCGGTTACGCCATAACTTCGAAGGAAAATATGATAATATTCCTTACAGCCAATCGGGTTTTTACTGATGTAAGACTAAATTTCAAATGATTAGGATTGGCACCTGTCATGTCCAGTCAGGATAAAAGGAGCTATAACAGGCTTTTGTCAGGAGAGATAGAAAAAGCTAGTGTGAGATTAAGCTGACTTGTAACAACGCTGAAGCTTTAGAAGAAATACAAAGTTTGCTGAGTTATCAAAGTACGTGTGTCTTTTCTGTGAAGTCGGCCCGGAGCTAGTCCCCTTCAACTGGGTTCGGACTTTTCACACTTGTCAGTTACATATATGAAGTATCATGGCGCTAGAACTGTTGTTTACAAATTCATTTGCGACTTAATTATTATGGTTTTATAAATATTAGTGTTAATTATTATTTAAACAGCCCGCCATGGTTTCAAGATTTGTGATCGCCATCGTCGCTCTGAGTTTGATTTCCTTTGGAAGTGGATATTTAGTCAAGCGTGAGTCTGGAGTCAGCAAAGTAATGCGGTGCATTACAAAAGCGTTTCAAAATTCATATAAGGACAAGGTTAAAGGAAGCGGAAATGCCCACTCAATGTGCTATTTATATAAGGTAAGTTCACTCATCTTGAAGTGCCCAAAGAAGATTTTTTCAATACTCAAGTGATAAGGGTCACGAGAGGGGAAAGAATTGACATAGAACTTTCAGGCTGCGTTACAAGGAATCCTGACAACATAAATAAAACGAAAGTGAAGCCAGAGAAGGCAAGAGACTGAAAAATAGCGAAATATAAGATCAGCAAAAATTATGTCGACGTCAGGGAAAATTCCTGGAATAGTCAGTAAATTTGTTTTCCTTTTAAGAATATTAGCCCTGAGTGTAACTTTTAGCTCCTTCCTTACTTGTCACAGTGGATGGATCCATGCCTTATCAACCTTGAGCAAGTTGTACATCCGGGAACAGTGCCTTTGCTGGACACTATGACATTTGCCTTTTGGCAGGAACTCACTCTTGTTCACAAAATGGGCCTTTGCCTGGACTTATCGCCTGATGAGCTGAAAAATTACGCTTTGAAATCAGGTAACTGATCATTGTTTTAAAACAATCTACAATAACCTTTGTTATACAACGTTCAGTGGTATCCTACCAAAAGCGAAAACGGAATCGTCTTTGCAGCTGCCTCAACTTCTTCCACTAAAAGGTCGGCGGGATGGGTCACGGGCACATTTTCAAAAGAACAAACGCTGACCAGAGTGCGTTCCCCCAATTTAGTACTAACGGAGGTTAATTTTGCCATTAAACGCCGGACCAACCGAACGAAAAGATAATTTTTTGTTGGCAAACTCTCATCTTTCCCGTATATTGCGGTAACGTCTGAGCCAGATCAACTTTAAACATCCCTAAGTCCGTTCTATACACGTGGCAAAATTTTGTCTCATGAATTTATTCATTGTCAGTTGTCCAGCCACCTTAAAAGACCTTGCTTACTTTACAAGCTCTTCTAGAATGATTTGTTGACTCGGCAGTGCTGAGAGCTTTTTTATGATGTGTCGCCTGGGAATAAGACGGAAAAAGCTCCTGAGCTATTTATCTTAAAACAGTTTTTACTGATCAGGTATCTCGTTCAATTTGTCTAACATTTATTGTCGTTTACGGTTTTAGGTATACTGACCACAACTGGCAGCTTGCGCAGCATTGGTGTGTATTTATATCTAAGTATTAACCTTAACCGTGAAACCCCCCAGAAATATAAAAAACACACTGCGTGTATTTTCATAACAGACCAGCAGCAACATTGTGATCAACTCAGGCACTTAAGGCACGACTATCTGATTAAATATGCGTATTTTGATAAAATGCAATTTAGAACGGTTTGCTTCAATCTATCAATGATCTTGAAAATTGGACAACTAATGTATCTTAATGGCCTTAGCAATATGAGACATTTTAGAAGCTTCGTCACGTGACTTATAATTGAGAATTAACGGTCACAATATTTACTCTAAAATGTGGAATGGATAATGAAAGAGCAACAATTTCTTTTAGGTACACTTTTAGAGGCTATTAATAAGGTTCTGAAAATTCGCCTTGTATGTGTGTTGACGTTACACAGGAATCGGTAAATAAAGGGAAAAGTGTCACGTGACTTGTTAATTAGTTAAATAGCTAATAGGATAAACAACATTTACAATCATACAAGGCGAATTTACAATTTACTGTTTGTGTAACAGTTTGGTGGTGAAAATTCGTAAGATTAAGATTTGCAACCCTTCCCCGTTTAGGAAAACGTGTTTTGTGACGTCACTGACGAAGCAATGTCACGCGTTATTTGAAATCACGTTTTACCTGTTTTTTGCATTAAGCCAAATTTGCAGTTCACTTTTCAGGATCACTGATGGGAGCAAACCGGTTTAAATAGCACTTTACGACAAAGTATGCATATTTAATTAGGTAGTCTTGCCTTAAGTGCAAGGTAGATGCTGGTAGCTACCAGGAACTCTTATCGATTTGTTGATGTTGCCGGCAACTATCCTCGGAAGATGTCCTCGACAACATTTGTTTCAAACGTATTGGTGAATAACATCAACTGCAGTTTGTCTGTCATATCTTTATTTCCCTCTCAGTAATTTTTTCCTTGATATCACTTTTAATCATTGCACGTTTGTCGGATTGGTTAATCCATTTCTCATCCATTCCGCGCGTCAAAAAACTCTCCTATATACAGGCACAAAAGACTGACATGAAAGCCGAAGAGAAGCTCTATACTTCACTTCCCTTGCTTTAATTATACTTCCTTCGAGAGATTTAAATAGATACAGGAAATTTATATTTCTCGGTGTTTTAAAAAGGCAATAACGAAAATGGGTGGTCAGATGTTTTATAAGTAAAAAAACGCGCGTCAACATCAAGTGATGACAGTGCTTTGCGTCGAAAACCTAATTTTAATATTACCTGAATAACAAGGACATGGTCTCCTTAGTTGAGTCCTTTTGTTGTTAACAGTCGGAACGTTTCAGTTGCCCAGCACCCAGTGATAATAAAAGAATGTGGCGGGACAACACCCAAATTGATGGGCACTGTCTAAATTCAACCGAGCAATAACTATCCGTTATGACCCCATGGCACCGCGGTCTACCCCAATCAGTAAGGTTATCTCCTTACCGGTAACTGTTGCTGTTGAATATTGGAGTTGATAGAATGTAAGGCTGGGGAGTGTTCACGAAGTGGGAAGCTCTCCGCGTTTTCGCGCACCGCATAGCCCTGGCTACCTACGCCCAACCTTGGACAAGACTGGTTCGTGGCTATGTCGACCCATGACACCCGTCCACAAAGCCATGCGACGTACTTGCCGAGTACAAGCAGTCACCCGCCAAGTAAAAAAACCTGCAGATTCTCAGGGCTATCACGAACAAGGTTCAGCACACTGCATTGGTTTACGCTAATGGGCTAAGCAAAAACATCCACACGTCTGGCGTATAAGGGGAACATCAAGAAGACACAAGGACCAGCTCAGAGTATGACGAACCCCTCAAATGTACCAATAGGAAAGTAATAAGAAGCAAAGGTGAGAAGATGCGTAGATTACTGGAGCACTAATTTGATCTCTACTCCAGAGAGAACAAAATGTCCCACTCAGTGTCCCACTTTAATTAAATAAGCTGTTGCCGAATCTGTGCTTATTTTATATGCGTTCAAGCTTCATCTAACGTGTGACTTTTTAAGAGCACACATTTTCACAATAGCTCAATCTAAATAATTGAAAAGCATTTACAACTCTAGTACTAACGAAGGACAGCGCCAGGAAGGCCAGGGCTCAGCAAAACATCCACACGTCCGGCGTATAAGGAAACATCAAGAAGACACAAGGACCAGCTCAGACCATGATGAGCCCCTCAAATGCGACAATGGGGAAGTAATAACAAGCAAAGGGCAGAAGATTCGTAGATGACTGGATCAGTCCCACTCAGCCATTGACACGATCGACTGCCTGCCGAACATGGATGAGCTAGACGCTGGAGCCGACTGTTAAAGCTCTGCTTTAGGCCGTCAACAGCATGGCCTCAGGCAAAACTACAGGCACCGATGAGATACCCTACTGCTTCCTCTGCATAGTGCCGCAAGACTTCAGGGACGCGAAGATCATAACCCTCAATAATAACGGCAACAAATGCAAAGGCATCTCCTTTCTCGTCATCGCCGAAAAAGTATTTGCTTGGATCATCTTGATCTGCCTACAGATCATGATCATCAGTCTGAGAATGAAGAACGTCCTCCGTCATGTCGGTGGCATCATCGGTTATCGTCCATCAGTTCAAATACTTTCTCTCTACGAGATCGAATGGAGGATCAACCCAGGATGACGGTAAAAGGGATGGCAGTGTACAAAGCCTGTGTCATCAGCACATTGCTATACAACAGATAGACGTGGATCACACCATAAAGTTAAAAGACTCAACACTCTCTACCTCAGAAGCATCCAGCCACCTTGGAGCACAAATCTGGTGAGACAAAGTGTTCGACATCGAGGTCCTTTCCCGCGTTGGCCTTTCTAGCATTTACACACCCTACTCCGACTACACAGGCTGCGCTAGCGGTTTCCAAGACAGAGCAAGAGAAAGCACTCGACATGGATACTCAGTCCTGGCGCCAATTGAACGCACGAGGTGAAGTGCTCTTTATCGACAACTCAAGGCGCAGGAAGAGAAGGAAAGCAGCGGCGGACGAGCAGGCACCAGAAAGGAACTCCAAAAGACCTGAAATTCTTGACAGACGTATCCATTGCCACAGAGATTGTCACTTCTATAGTAGTCTCTTTAACTACATGACGCATTTTTCTAAAGGGAGAAAGCCCGTAAAAATAGCATGGATCACTTATTGTCGACCCTGACCAGCGGAATGCAAAGCCAGTATTCGATTCCTCGATAAATAAACAATCAGCAAAGCCCACCACAAAAGTCTCGTATTTTGGAAGCATATCTTTTCAAAAACTGTTTTCTTTTCTCTTTTACATATGATCTTGTAATTCCCTTTCACCTTAGATAAATACTGTAAATAGTTTTCTATCAGGACTATGTGAATCTCCATAATTCCCTCAGAAAAAAACTTTCAAAGTTCTCTCTTGCCTTTGCGTTGCCCCTTTTAATCCTTTAATAATTTTTTTGCACGCATTAGACATAACTTTAATGAAATAAGATATTGCCGAATCTGTGCTTATTTTATATGCGTTCAAGCTTCATCTAATGTGTGGCTTTTAAGGGCACACATTTTCACAATAAGATACAATAGCTCAATCTAAATAATTGAAAAGCAAAACATTCCTGCATTTACAACTGTGGTACTAACGAAGGACAGCGCCAGGAAGGCCAAATTTTCCTCCCCGTTTCAGAGGTTTCGAACCACAGAATGCTGAAGGTTTTGGCTCCTCAAGTTGCCTTGGTTTCCTAAGCACCCGCCACGATTTTACTTAAGAACTGTAAAATCTCGACCATAAAAAAAGGTGGTAGCCAAAGTTCTCATAAACGAAGACGTATTCATTCAGAGAGCGTTATTTTCGCAATAAAAAAAAATAAAATAAAAAAATAACGATAATAAAAGCAGTAAAACTCATTGAGAGAAATGTTCATGGAAGTCTCACAAAGCTGTCTGTCATCTTTGGCAATTCGGCATGATCAGTCAGTGGATTAACCAATCAGATAAAGTTTCCTCTGTTATTGACCATTTGATCCTTTCCAATTTTTTCTTTGTTAATCATACAGAGGAGGACGACATGAACCCGTGCGCTCAAGAAGCCCTCTTAAATTGTACAGGTTTTGGGAAAAAGAACTGGCCTACCTCCCTCGCAAGTTTGTTTGACGCGTATTTCGCATGCCTGGAAAAAACGGCCACAACCTGTAATGCCCCCATCTGGCAACACCTTATTATCACCTATGAAGCTTTGAAGGAGGAACTTAACAAGAACCGTGGGAAATTCAACCAGCTCTCACTGAACGTAACGCAGAATCCTGAAGATGTTGTCCAAGTTTATTCTGAAAAAATCCAAAACGAAAATTGAGATACTGTTCTAACCTCAAAGAATCAGGGGTAATCTAAGTGGGTAGAGCGACATGGATACAAAGCTAAAGAAAATATCATTAACGCGACTTACAGCAAAGTGACAGTTACTTACTTAGTGGGCCACTTTGTGACATTTACATGTAGCACATACCAGTTGCTATCCTAATAACAGGGTTTTGATGTACCATTAGATACCAGTACGATTTGCATGTCAGTATTGAATAGATAAAACATTTAAAATATAGTAAAGGACAGGATAATGCATTATTCTTGATATTCTTGAGTTAAAAGACGCAGTGTTACGTCACTGTCCATGCCGTTTCCCTACTTTTCCCAATCAAAAACGTATTTAATCATAAAAATTTCGTGCGCTCTTGAATGGTTTATCTTGTGCATGTTCTTTCATTCACGATACCTCTCCACGCGGGCTTGTCACTAAGCACGCCACTAAACTCAATGGTATCACATTCTCTTGAGATTCTTACCAAATATTGAACGATTTAAATAAAAAGCAAGAACAGGAGGGCAGCAAAGAGCCTAACGAGCATATATAGGTGCGATTAAGGAAGGCGAAGTTGGAATTTGAAAACAACATGTTACCACGAAAACAAGAGGCGATGCTGTTCCGTTTTCCTCACTGTGCACTTTTTTGTACTTTTACTTTGGATTTTTTTTTATAAAACTCTTCTTCTTTATAGCGGAGCTCCACGTGCGCGAGCGGAGCCCCATTGCTAAGAAAATTTGGTAATCTATCCATTCAAGAAATTTTTGTTCTGACATCAGCGTACGCCGACCGTCCGTAGATTCTTTGGGGGTGAGGAAGGGAGTCAGAAGTCAGCCCATCTGGGGGAGTATGTTATAATTTCTTGACTGGAAATCGTGCGATGCATTTGTGCAACCCTCGTTTTTCTAGGCGGGAAATCGCGCAAGAAATCGCGTGGTCATTATCGTCGCTTTCAAAAACTTGTTTACTTTACGAGGCTTAGCTTTGCTTTTTTCCTGGCTTTTTCCCCGGCTTGGTGACAGGTGAACTCATGAGTAACAAACTTATGCAACATCTATAAATTTGTTTGCTGGCTTCACATGCGGACATGTGAAGCCTATTTTTCATTTCAGTTAAGTTTTAAAATTATCATGTCCCTGTACTGCCGCCACAAAATGACATACAGCTGCTGCGAAGTTTCTTTTTTTCAAACTGAATTGAATCGTTTATTTGTTTTTTTGTGGAGGGAAGTGTCACAAAGGGATTTATCGATGGCTGCGTTAGATAGTTCATGAAGGCTCTTACGGCGGACTAAAGGAAAAATATTTCAAAATTTCAAATTTTTAGTCTTCGTGTTCTTCCAAAGTCGCCTTAAAATGAATACAGCTGCTTTCAAGATTTTTCTGTTATACGAAACTGGTTTAATTGTTTATTTGGTTTTTGGGCTGAGGGAAGCCTTGCCACGCCGGGATCCAACGAAAGTGAAAGTTGAACATGCTCACTTACTCTATTTCAGAAGCTGCATCCAAGGTGAGCCTGAGTAATTATTACAGTTTTTGTCTCTTTTAGTTTTGTTGTAAAGTCAGGCGTAATTATTTCATGCAAGAGAGATTATTCTGTTTTATTTCATGTCATGACAGAGCCGGACGCTTTCAATGGCTTCGCGTTTAATTCACACAAGACACAAGCTTAACGCTGGTTACAATAGGAACAAAAAGTATTAACAGTATTTCAGTGCTGTCAGCTCTCCCGGATAATCCAAGAGACTCCAGATTTTGGGCCGTATGTCCCGGTCTCCAGATTTGAGTATGAAATCTCCTGGATAATCGCCCAATTTTGCCATTTCTTGTAGATTAGACTTCCGAAAATAAAAGTTCAAATATTTTGCGTTGTTTGAGCTATTTTTATATTTTTAAAATCGAACGTTTCTTCATAAACTCCAGTACGCCATTGTAATATAAGCAGTAATGTGACTGGTGGGAAGTAAACCAATCAAGTTAAATGTTACAATGCCAATAACATCTTTTTCAAGCGTTTTGCGTCATCGCAAATTCGTGGCGATCGGAGTCAACAGGTATTTTTTGCACAAATGACGTCATGCGCCCCGCGTTATGACGTCATCTATAATCCCTTTGCTATCAATTCTATACGAATTCTACGAATTCATCAGGAGCCAGACTTTACGACACGAACATGGTCACTATATTTAGCAACATTTTCAGAGAATTTTCGATCCTGTGACAATTGCTGGCATTCCCAGATAAAATTGGCCAAAAATCCCTTGCAAAGGGCGGGAAAATGAAACATTTTCCATTCTACCATATCCCATATCCCATATCCTGATTTCTCAGTGGTAAGACTAAACTAACATTGAGGAAAATTCTCAGACCTGGCCAAAAATCTTGTTCGGACACCAAAAATTCATCCAGGGCCGAGATATAAGCTTAAGAAGATTTTGGTTCTCACACTGAATACGCGTATTACTCAACAGGCATTATTTTAAGAATTATACCAGAGCTACCCACTAGAGCCTTTACATGATGCTTTTTCCTTCCCGATAAGATTGGTTTGGTGCGTGTTTACACGTAATGGTTCCTCGAGGGGTGTTCATTCCATAAATTGCGTGTCAAGCGTTAGCGTCTATTACACGTGGTTTCTCATTGACGGGATGTAGATTCCTTCCACATCACAAATACGGCAGATAGTTTATTTCCGGTTTTCCAGGGTTAAGTTCATTTCAGGTATATTCTAACATTCCACAGACAAATTGCTCAAACAAATCGCATGTTTATTGCAATATTCGCTTCCCGCGCGCCGTACAAACAAAGTATAAGACAACGTTCCTGTGCAATATCCCACCGCATCTAAAACTTTTTATGCTGAAGAATACTACTTAGACAAGTATTAGTCGGCTACTTGTTATTATCATACAACGATAACCTATTAAGAAGAAAGAGAAAGAATCGTACCTGGAATTAGTCTCCCTCGGCTGGACACGGGGGAAAGTTGCACGACATCCTAAAGCACGGCTGTGATATAGACTAACCTGGGATCCGAAGAAATCGTTTTGTCGTTCTTCTGGAACTTGACAGCCAAAAGCAACTTGGGAACGAGGCTGATCTAACTTTACGCGGGAAATATATCAACCTCGTACTCAGGACCAGGCTACTTTCTTACTTTCTTGAAGGCTTTATTGATGATGACGTCACCTTTATTAGTATGTTTTCAATGTGTATTCCTTTACAATCAGTGTCACACAATAACAGTCTGCAAACAGTCTGCAGTCTACAACCGGTCGCAAATGGAAAGAGGAAGGTTTTAAAGAATACCCAGTTCTAGTGGTTGCGCCGATAAAAAGTAAAGGTAGTTAGCCGAAACATTGCAGCCACTCTATTTGCTCTCTTAAATAAAACGTGTTGTTGCTGTACATCTTTCATTGAAGTTTTATTCAAGTTTTGATTGTCAGTCATAATTTTGCAAGGTGTTATGCAGCCTTTTTACTTTCGCGGACTGCATCAGAATGACGCGTGAACGTCTGAAAATGGTTTAAGCATGGCGTGTGATTTGAGCCTGTGCACATGGTTCAATCTCGCCGAAAAGAAATTACATACAAGGTTTGTCGATTATTTTACCGACAAACTCGTAACTTTGCTGTAGTTTATTAAGTCTAGGACACATTTAGCCGCATTTCAAAATACACAACACGCAAAGGGTAGTTTGTGTAGACAACAAAATTATGGATATTCATAGGGGGGAATGTTAAGTACATTATCAACCTTCCTGGGTTTTTTCGCCTGAAGAAACTTAACTTTCCCAAAAGGTTACTGAGTATCAGTAGCAAAAGGTAGTTTGCAAACCCGGTTTGTCGGCCCGACTTTGCAAAGAAAATACAGTTATTCTAAACACAAAAATCGGTCTAATTTACCATTTGGGTAGAATCCCTTTGAGACGGAAAGATTGACGTAAAAACATGAACTTTGAACTGGACGCAGCCAAAGAGTTTCGTGAATGACAACCAGCCTTTATAAAACATTTAAGAAGGAATCCACCAGGATTCAATTTCCCGGTGGAATCCGTCTTAATTTCATTTCTCAAAGGGGTATGGGGAGGGGAAGTGATGCACACGTATGGGTAAGAATTCTTTTCCAAGACTATTACACTGTGATCGGACTTGATTTATAATTGTCTCTTTTTGTTTTAAGACGGAAGCCGGCCATCAGGAAATTGAGGAATTTCAATTTTCAGTCGACAAAAACCTTGTTCCAGGATAGTTCAAACAATATCACATTCTTTTTTACATTTTTCAAGGGCTATAGATATAATTGATTATCTGTAATAACACCAAAGACTATTTCTCAAGGGGGCCCGAGAACATAAATGTCAAATTTCACAAGAATCGTGAAAACACAGCTAAAATTCTGAAAATTTCATGTGTAAGATGTCATTTTGTGAAATTTGACATTTATTTCCTCGGGCTCTCATAAGAAATTTTCTTTGGTGTTATTACAGATAACTAACTACATCTATAGCCCTTGAAAAATGTGAAAAAGAATGTGATATTGCTTAAATTATTCTGGTACAAGGTTTTTGTCCACTGAAAATTAATAGTATCTTATTACAACTTTGGTAATGCCACTGTGTCACTGTTCTACAGAAGATGCGATGGCCAAACGGTAGCATTAACGGACAATGCTGAACTCCGCTTCGAGCAAACTAGGCCTGAGTCACAGGTGACTGTGTTGTGCTCCTAATCCAGTCACTTCACTTGCACAGTACTGTTTTCCGCCCAGGCGGGAAAATGAGCGCTGGCAAATTGTCAGAATAAAGCTAACGACAAAATACAGGCCAAGGTGTTCATAAGATGGATGGAAGTCAACCAGTGGGTCAAGCGATACAATTACAGCTTCGTGTTATGAAAACAGGGGTAAGCTTTGGTCTAAGGACCCACCAAGCTGTCCATATAAAAAGAATTTTTAAATTATTACAATTTAAAGTGTCACAACGATGCTGTAAGGCAATCAAGAATTAGTGAGCAGAAGACACCAATTTCAGTGGCGAGTCCATGGGTTTTACTCTCTATCTCCCAGGGTCATTGTTATATATAACTGAATCCTCATAATTTAAGATGTTTTGATTCGGAAAAAAGTATACAGGCAGCATTTTTTCCTGAACAGCTAACTGTTGAAGTTTCTGGAAAATTTTCATGGTTAAGTTTACAGTGAATTTGGTGTAATTCCTTTCACATGCTGGTTCTCCTGGACATCCTGTCGTCAGACTTGAATCTCCACTCAAGACATGAACTAAACAGTTTTTCAACATGTAACTCTTGATCGTGGAGGATGGATGGACAGCATGATCTTTAGTCGTGACTCCATCACCAGTGAAATTGATAACCGGGCACACGTCATCTTTGATCAACGCTTTAGCGAGCACATAAGCATTCTTAACCTCCTGTGGTAATTTTGCCGTGAGGCACCTCTCAGCAGGAACACACGATATTCTCAGATTGAACTCGGAATCTTCTCCAGGACCCCGTTCTTCTTGTGAAAGGACCAATAACAAACATCCCTCCTTCTTTATCGTTTCTGTCATCAGAGGCAGTGCTGTGGGGTTCAGGATGTGTTTTGGCCACCAGCTTGATAGGTATATTGCTGGCACAATATCTACACTAACATGTAGATACTTGTGACAACATGACATCCATAAAACCTTTAGAGTAAACGCCGGTCTTTCAGCGTCTTCTGATCCATCACTGATACCATTCAACACGTATTTGCTGTTTTCCCATGTTGCTTTCTCTCGAATGACCGCACTCAAGAGTTGATTAAAAGCAAGTCGCACGTTTTGCGTAAGTAGGAAGCCTGTATCATCAAAGAACTGGGAAAATGCTTTAAGCGGTGGTTTCATTTTGGACCTTGCCTTTACCAGTCCGCTAGTTTTGGAGATCTCGCCTTCTACAACATCACAAGAATCGGTAAATTTGGTCAAACAGAATAGAAAATCAAACTCATCTGGCTTTCCGGTCTTTGTGCCTTCAGCAATACTGCCAGCTGAAAGCAAAGAAGTGGTGAAAAGTTCTTCCATCTCTCCCATTCTCTTTGCAACAGTCTCCATGAGACTTAGCACGCCCTTACAGACTCTAGCATTTTCCTCATGATGGGTCGACAAAAGCATCCTCTTTTCTTTAAGCAGTTCCTCACAACCACCAAGAACATCTCTGCTCACCTTTAACTTTTTCTGTGCATTAGTATCACTGGTTTCCTTTGGATATCTAAGCTCATATACACCACACCAAAGTTGGTCACGTGCACACGGGCAACCAAGGGGAGGCTCCATATTCTCGTCATCTTGAAAAACTTGCAAAGCATACTTGCAGTTATGAATCCTGGCAACATCTTTTGCAGTATGACCCTCTTCATCCTGTAAACAAAGGTCTGCTTTATGCTCCAACAGGAGTTTGATTAAATCACCATCATCAGCATATGCTGCATAATGAAGAGGACTGGAACCATATTTGTCTTGCTGGTTCACATTTCCCCCGTTGTGAATGAGATATTCCACACAGTCTAAGTCAGAGACAAGGAGATTTTGGCAAAGACAAGATCTCCCGAATCTATCCACAGCCTTCAAGTCTCCACCATGTTGCAGTAGTAAAGAAACAGTTTCAATGCTTCTCGCCATGTACACTGTGCTTTGGCCAAAAATATCCTGAGAGTTAACATTTGCACCATGATCAATCAGTGCAACAGCATAGTCTGGGTTGTTTAAAAAACATGCCATCATAAGCGGTGTCTGTCCAATATTGTTCCCCATCATCACATCTGCACCTAAGGACAAAAGTTTTTTAAACATCTTCTCCTCTTCAAATGGATTGGACATGTAGAGGCAGAAAGGCGTAAGACCACCAGCATTTTGCATGTTTAGTAGCAAAGGAAAAACAGACTCTGGAACCATTTTGCCCCATAAAAGATCTTCTAACAATTGGACAGCGGCTTCTTCATAGAGTGGCTTGTTGAAAAGAAGATGCAGAAAATTATCTCCAGATAGACTCTTGACTGTAAAATCAATGTTCTTACATGAAGAAAGCAACAATTTGGTGAGTTCAACAAAATATAACTCATTCATGACAGCCAAATGAAGTGCAGTCAAGCCACGATCATCTTGTAGATTTGGATCAGCACCAGCATCTAAAAGCAAGTTAATTATGCTCTTAAAGTCATCAAATTCAGTGTCAATATCAATTGCAGTGATGGCATGATGTAAAGATGAGAAACTGTCATGATCAGTGGCATTCACTAGAATGCCCGGTACTTGAAGAAGACGTTTCACCTTGTCAACTTCTCCACAACTGACTACGTAATGAAGTGGTGTCCTGCCAAACACGTCACATATGCCCACTTTCCCTCCTGACATTAAGAGGAAATCAAATATTTCATAACTAATTTCACTTCCAGAAGAAGTGAATAATGGTGACTGACCATCAGAGTCACACCAATTAATATCAGCATTGTAGTCTAACAAAAGTTTACACATTTGAAGATCATTGTTTTCTATTGCAACATGTAAGGGTGATAAGGTGAAATTTGATTTCCCATCTGGAGGATAACCTTGCTGTAACAAATGCAGAGCCTCATCATGGTTACCAAAATGCACCGCACATAACAACTCATCAGCCCAAGCCATCCTATGTGTGAATAGTGTAATTAGCCTTTCTTGGATCTTTCATGCTGTGTAAAAAAGTATAAAAGTAAACAAAAATTAAAACAACTACCAATAAAAGAATACAAAAGAAAAAATAATACTGTTACATAATGAGTGCACCATTCAAGGTTTCATTTAGCCAAGATGGAAGTTCTTTATTGGGAATTATTAGGGACCTTAGGGGCTGGTCATTTGTTACCTTTGAGGCAGGGCTGGCCACTTTGAGAGAGCTTAAAAGAGTGCCAAACCAACCCCCCAATTTATCCAAGCTTTGTAGAAATAACTGCCCCCCCCCCCGATTGCTTTGGAAACTACTGGGCACTGGAAAGTCCTGGGTGCAAATATAAAATACTTCCAAGCAGTAGCAGGCCAATATTCTCACTACAAACTTGTGCCAAAGTTAGCAGGCTAGTCACAGGCTAGGTTAGTCTTAGCTTTCCCAAAAATTAATACTACCTACATTGCTCTCTTAAAAAGATTTTGCTCTGTAATACTGTCATGGAATTTATTTAATGATCCCCCATCTGATGCTCCCCTGGCTGAAAGCGACCCCTCAAAACCAAGCAAGAATTTGAAAATGACCCCCCATCAAAATGGCCGACTCCAGCCCCCCTCACAGGTAAAAAATGACCAGCCCCTTAAGCAAAAACAACATTGACATCCCAAAGGTCAAAAATGGCAACCGGAAGTTGTTATTTTCTCTTTTTACCTGCACTGACTGGACAAATTCGTACAGCGGGGGCTAATTATAAAACAAAGGCATTCAGATGTGTTATGTGAGACAGATGTTCGGGAGCGAAGAGGTCCATCAAGTGAGACATAAAACTTCTGGTTTAATTTTCGTGATGTCCGTTCTCGTTGCTTAACAACCTAACATTAAAGCAAACAAAAATCTGCCAATAAAGTGGGTTGAATGAAAACTACATGACTTCTTCTGAATTTCAGACGTTGAGATTTACTGAGTGCAATAACGGTTCAAAACTTTAATTAAATCAACCACAAAATTATGGACATTTCGAGGTCATATACCCAAATTTTTGTAAGCTTCTATATTGCTTTAAAAAAATGTTTTTCTTAGTAAAAAGTTTGAATTTGCAGTTGTTCACAATTTTTTCATTAATTACAAACAACTAATGACAAAATTTTAAACATAATTTAACTGAATTTTCAAAGCCTGGTAGGTGTCTGTAAGAACAGATGCATTTTCCCAACTTTGTTTATCACCTTAGCACACAGGTCAAATTTGATTTCAGGTTAATTTTGTTTAACCTAATGTTGATTCTCAATTTCCTTTGTCTCCTAGCTCTAATTATTCATAAATTAGGGCTAAAAAACAAAGGGAATTGAGAATCATCCTAGGTTAATAAATCAAAATTAACCTGAAATCAAATTTGACCAGTAACACTTAGATCGTAATCAAAATAGGACTCCCTGTGGCATCTCAATGCTTCACACCAGGACAACCAGGCTGAGCATAAATAATATTTCTTGCAAATGTTTATCTCAATTTAACTTCAGAGAGACCATTAACACTAGCTGATAAAGGAACTTTGTACACCTTGGCACATAACTGCCGAACACGGGTCACCAATTGGCGACTTTTGTTGCGAGTTTAGTCGCCAATTTTTTTTTACTGGCCATGACGACCAAAACGGTCGCAGCTTGGAGCGCTGGCGGTCAAATATTTATATGATTAAGATATCTACCTAAAGGGGCAAGTCATTCTCAGGGTGAACCAGTATTTATCAGTTAACCTCAAGAGCATGGCAATTCGATATTCCCCTGGGTTAGTGCGGCAAAAGACCAGCTGCATAAACCAAAGTGAATAGCAAGATTCGAGTTACGTTATAAAGAACACAACAATCTGAACAATGATCCCCAGCCCTTACACAATAACACAATAAACTTCACACAATAGAACGCGCGACTCAAAGCATCACAATTCCCATGGGCATTCTTCGGGTAATTCCACAGGTAGCCCAAGCTCACTATGAGAGCCCTGAACAACATCATCCCACTTAGCTAATTAATTATTCATACAGCAAGAAAATTATAAGACGTTGTATGGGGAAATGTTCTTTGCTCACTAAATTACCAAAATGTACATTGAATATCGCTTTGAAGCTTACCTTTAGCGTCTTCTTGTTTTCCTTTGTATTCTGACTGCATTTCAGACCTCCGAGGCACTGTTTAAGGTCTTTTTTGGAGCGACAGTTTTTCACCCAGATGACAGTAGAGAGAAGAGAAGAGAAGGTTGGCAAACCTCTCTTGACCGGCTCCGCTCTCGGCGGCGATAAATTCCGTGACATTTGCGACATGGAGACAATTCCGCCAGAAACAGATG